TAAGTAGGTCAGATTGTGGTTCACAGAGTAGGTATCAGAGCACCATCGAGTCTGAACATGATATCGTGTGTTAAACGTAAGAGGAGAAGTTCTTCAACGTCACAAAAACACGGCGGCTGTAGAGTACCAAAAAAAAAAAAAAAAAAAAAAAACCCCCCACCCCTTCTTTTTTGGTTTTCGCAACACCTAACAGTTCCATTAAAAAAAAAAAAATTTTTTTCCCCCCCCCCCCCCCCCCGAAAAAAAAAAAAAGTAATGTTGATTTAAATATTAGATGTAGTTCAAAGGTACAAACGGAGAAAAAAATTTAAAAAAAAAAAGTTTTTGTCCCCCCCCCCCCCCCCCCGAAAAAAAAAAAAAAGTAATGTTGATTTAAATATTAGATGTAGTTCAAAGGTACAAACGGAGAAAAAAATTGCATGCCAGGAAACATCATTTTTCTTCTAGAGGTTTAAATAATTTCTTACGACCTGCATAAAATCGGCTGAGTGAATGTTACAATGACCGTCAGTTTAAAGCTTGAGAGAATCATTGTTTATATTCACTGGCCGGTAATGATCAAATCAATATATTTAATCGCGTCATTACTGTCTTTACCAAGCATAATCGAATACAAAGATACATTCGAGTCCATGTGGCAACCGTGTGTTCATCTTATGGGTACTTTGTCTAGACCTGAAGGCAGTGAAGCGTGTCGTAACACAGTTATCTCGCCAAGGTAAAAAAAGAAAACCATTTTTATCCCAAACCATAGAGCAGACGACAGGAATATTTAGAGGCAACGGCCTGTTCACATTGGAATTAAAGTATGAAGTTTGATTTTTTTCCCCCTTCTTCATTTGTGTTCACATTGTCATATTTTTTCATCTTTATTTGTGTTCACATTGTCATATTTTTCATCTTTATTTGTGTTCACATTTTCATATTTTTTCTCATTTATTTTCGTTCACATTGTCATATTTATTCATCTTTATTATCGTTCACATTGTTATATTTTTTCTCCTTTATTTTTTTTCACATTGTCAAATTTATTTTCACTTTTATTTCTGTTCACATTGTCATATTTTTTCTCTTTTAATTTTGTTCACATTGTCATATTTTTTCTTTTCCATTTGTGTTCACAATTTATTTTTTTTTCTTTACTTGTTTTAAAAAAAGTTCATTCCCCACCCCCCTATTTTCTTCTTTCTTTGTGTTCACAATGTCATATTTTTGCCCCCATTTAGTAATTAAATAATTTCAAGCACAAAACTATTTGCAAGTTGCTGTGGAGATAATTCATTAAAAAAAAATGTCTTTCAAAAAAAAAAAGTCTACCGAACTGTTGATCTGCATGACGCATCAACAACTTACAGCAAATACAGTTAACTCTAAATGGATCAACACTTCGTGGTCATTCATGGGAACGTTGTCTCACTTAGTCCTTCGTGTTATTTACTTAGTGGAAATAAAAATGTCAATAATAGTGTATGTGCTGCTATTACAACTCAAGGTGTCAATAAAAATGTGTGGTGCTATTTGTATACCTTAAGGTGTCAATAATAGTGTATGTGGTGCTATTGTTGTTACAATAATAGTGTATGTGGTGCTATTGTTGTAACTTAAGATGTCAATAATAGTGTATGAGGTGCTATAAATATAACTTAAGATGTCAATAATAATATGTTTGGTGCTATTGTTGCAACTTAAAGTGTCAATAATAGTGTATGAGGTGCTATTGTTGTAACTCAAGATGTCAATAATAGTGTATGAGGTGCTATAATTATAACTTAAGATGTCAATAATAATATGTTTGGTGCTATTGTTGCAACTTAAGGTGTCAATAATAGTGTATGTGGTGCTATAATTATAACTTAAGATGTCAATAATAATATGTGTGGTGCTATTGTAGCAACTTAAGGTGTCAATAATAGTGTATGTGGTGCTATAATTATAACTTAAGATGTCAATAATAATATGTTTGGTGCTATTGTTGCAACTTAAGGTGTCAATAATAGTGTATGAGGTGCTATTGTTGTAACTCAAGATGTCAATAATAGTGTATGAGGTGCTATAAATATAACTTTAGATGTCAATAATAATATGTTTGGTGCTATTGTTGCAACTTAAGGTGTCAATAATAGTGTATGTGGTGCTATTGTAGCAACTTAAGGTGTCAATAATAGTGTATGTGGTGCTATAATTATAACTTAAGATGTCAATAATAATATGTTTGGTGCTATTGTTGCAACTTAAGGTGTCAATAATAGTGTATGTGGTGCTATAATTATAACTTAAGATGTCAATAATAGTGTATGTTGTGCTATTGTTGTAACGTAAGGTGTCAGTAATAGTGTATGTGGTGCTATGGTTGTAACTTAAGGTGTCAATAATAGTGTATGTGGTGCTATTGTTGTAACGTAAGGTGTCAGTAATAGTGTATGTGGTGCTATTATAATAGCTTAAAGTTTGAATAAACATATGCGTGTTGCTGCTCTGTTAAGTAGTGAGCGGTGCTATCAAGTATAAAATGATTTCATATATTTATATTATTAATATTCGTCTTCGTTGCGCTAAGATGACCAAGGCTTGAGTAAGAGCCTTGACGTGAGCTGTATTTTGTTGAAAGTAAGAGAGGTTTGCTCCACTAGTCAGCCTCACTCTCCCGTCCTTGTCTATTTGATCTAAATGACAAGACTTGGTTGACGTACACTGGAAACAGACGAGGCTGCAGTAGATGGCCAACAATTTTTTTTTTTCTGTCCAGTGTGTTCATGTTGCGCTCTACGTCAAAGGAACAGGCGGACTTTTCATTGTGTTTGATTTCAGAATATGCCATCTCTTAGTTGAGCTGCCATCTAAGGTTGACAATCCCATCCACCCGAGCTTGCTGGGCGATGTTTCTGTTTGACTTGGCGTTTTCTTGAAGGAATTGAGCTCCAGTCCACCATCTTGGGATTAACTCAGTTTAGAGGGCTCACCCACCAAGTTGGTGTCCCCAAGACTCCACATACCATGAAAAAGACACACCAACCATTGATATCCATCGTTTTAGGAATGTGATCACCGCTGTGCCGTACACTTTGCATTTTCAAAGATAGGAAAGTGGTTTTTTTAATCGCCACCCACTTCCTTAAGTCACAGATTTATGATTTTGGCGCAAAACGTTGTAAAGGAAGTTTCTTGACGTATTTTTGTGATTGTTTATTTTGTTTTAAGACTATGACCCCCAAAGCTTAAATGTTTATTGATTAAAGTGATATTAATTGTATTGATATATTTAAAAAAAAAAAGATTGTGTCAGCTTTTTATGGTTTTCAAAGGGAAAAATTATACCCCCCCCCCAAAAAAAAAAGTATCAGTTATTTATAATTGTATAAATAGAAACAATACTATATTTGTTGAATTTAAGAGAACATTTCTTAGACATAAAACAAATTGTAAACTTAATGCTATAGAAATAAATAACTTTATTATTAAAAAAATAAGGTTAACTAGTTACAATATCTGTCTATACATCCTTCACTCAGAACGTTACATATATATATATATATATATTAGTGGTCTTATGTAGCGCGGTACCTTAACATTTTTATCAAACTTGATAATGACATTAAAAAATGTCATACATTTTTTTTTTTACAAAATAAAAAAAAAAATAAATAAATAAACAAAGATGTATAACAACAAAACAAAATCAATTTGATATTCCAGAACTAAATAAAAGAAAAGTTGATTCCTTGGGAGTAAATTAGGGGGCGTGCCCGGTAAAATGAACCAAGACTTTCAACAACACACCCACTTTTCAGTTATCCATTTTTTTTTTTTTAAACTTTGTTTAAATATAACACAATTAATTAATTTGTGGGTGTGCAGATCTTTAGAACTCAAATATTAGTATAGATATTTAACGTTGAAATTTTAGTATAGATATTTAACGTTCCTATATTAGTACAGATATTTAACGCTCATGGATTAGTACAGATATTTCCCGTTCGTATATTACAAATATTTTACGCTTGTAGATTAGTACAAATATTTTAATGGTGGTATATTAGTACAAATATTTTAACTCTCGTATATTAGTACTAATAATTAACGTCCATATAGTATTGCAGATGTTTACTGCCCAAATATCTCTATATATGTACAGATATTTAACTTAAATATAATAGTACAGCTAGTTATCGTTCATATAATAGTACACATATTTTACCTTCAAATATTATTACAAATACTTAAGTTTCACATATTATTACATATATTTATCGCTCGTATATTAGAATATATATTTCACTTTCATATACAACAGACATTTAACATTCATTTATTAATACATATATTTATCGTTTAAATATTAGTACAGGTGTTTGTCATAAATCTGTTTGTACCGACATTAAACTGTCGCTAAACTATGAGTACCTATTTATGTGCTTTCAATGCAGCGACGAAGAACACACGACTCTACAGATAAGGAAAACAAGTATAGGTAAAGTTCTGAAATCAATGTCCATGACCACACGACCATCGCCATGTTCACATACAACATATTTATTTTGTTAGTATTAAAAAAACATTTTTTTGGATCATCAGATAAAGAAACGACGGCCACTACAATGAGGAGACAACTGCGACTTAAAGGATTGCTTGCTTTCACATTGATGACGTCCCTTTTCATTTATCTTCTCTTCATCGCACGGGGCGGTCACATTAAATCGACCAAAATGTCGGGTGGTAAAAGAGTAAGGGCGGCTCAGAGCAAAAACCATGGGGCCCAGAGCGAGGTCTCGGTGTCAGGTGGAGAATTCGGGAACGGAACATTTCCAATAGTTGGGAACGACGACGAAAACCTGACTGCAGAAGCGCCCGGACCAATCACTTCAATCGCAACGGGTAGCAAGCTACGCCCGGCGGAAGTCTTGCCAAACACGTCATTTCCGTTCTCAAAGGTGAAAACTAATGCGACGGATAATCATCCCGGCTCGACGCAAGATAGAAATTATAATCTTAGAACGAGTGACATGTTAAGAGCTGAGGTGGAAGCTAAGAAGGTCGTCATTGAAGTTCTGTCGCAGCCAGTCTTAAACGTCCATGACTTTGAATATTTACGTAACCCTGTTGGCGCATGCGCAACAAGTTATACGGAAGTGCTGATCGTCGTTCCGTCTGCCCCACGGCACGCCGAGCATCGACTGAAAATTCGGAAAGGGACCCTCGGCGACTACGTCAGGGCGCCGTCAAACAACGCCAAGATGGTGTTTTTTTTCGGGGAGCCCGAATGCGACGGCGACGCGGCGAAACTGCAAAGGAACATTGACGACGAGTTCCATACTTACGGAGACGTCGTGCAGGAGCAGTACCTGGACGTGTACAGGAACATCCGCCTCAAAGCGGTGTCCATGCTGAGGTGGGCCGCGACGTACTGCAAAAGCGCGAAGTACGTCATTCGCACGGACGATGACGTCGTGGTCAACATCACCAAAATCGTCACCGTTGTGAGGAGGAAAGGTTTGGAGTTTCAAGATTTCATCCTCGGGGTCAGGAAGGACGGCTGGTCGCCTGTCAGAAGGAATCACACGCACGGTTTGAAATACGCCGTCTCTGAGGAGGAGTACCCCAGCGCCACTTATCCCCCCTTCGCTGTCGGCGGGCTGCTGGCCTACCCGCTGAGCACCGTGGCGTTGTTGTACCAGGCGGCGCTGAGGGTCAAGCCGTTATGGCTGGACGACGTCTACATCACAGGGATGTGTGCTCAACGGCTCAAGCTGCCTCTAATTAAAGACCCCGATTTTGTATTTCAGCATTGAAGAATGTAATTTCATTTCTGTGTCCTCTGCCCCCCTGACACATATTCCATATTCCTTATACAATATCCCATATCTTCTATCCTATATCACATTTCCTCTATCCAATATCCCATATTTTCTATCATATTTTCCATATCCTCTATCCACTATCCGATATACTCTATCCTATAATACATATCCTCTATCCAATATCCTGCATTTCATGTCTTCCATCTAATATCCTAAATCCTATATTGCTTGTTCTTTATCCTATATCCCGTGACCTATATCCTCTTATTACCATGTTAACTATCCTCTTTTCGATATCCTCAATCCCTGTAAGACAAATTTCATTGAAAACTATAACTAATTTTTTGGGGAAAAAAGCAAGTATCCAGTTTTATGTTACTCTAAGAAACTAAACTATATGACTTGTTTTTATCGTGTTAATAATGGTAAGTCCTTTTGCGATAATTCCTACCTGCTGTTGCAAAAACTCATCACGGTTCCTAACTTTAAAAAGAAGTAGCTATATAATGATATTTACGTTTCTAACATCATTAAGTTTTGAGAAGTATTTATCTTCTATAGATCAGACACCTACCCCACTATTTTACGCCCCAAGCTACTGTTTGTTTTTTTTTACTTCTAAACATGACCTTAAATTACCCAGTCTAAATTATCACTAATTATATCACTTTGATCAATAAAGAAGTTCATTGAGCGACGATTTCTACGCTAAGGGACTTTTTTTTCCCTATTTTTTTTTAAAACATCATCTTAAATTTACAACAAAAACTTAAAGTATGCTACAAATACACTTGGCATTAAAAGAATTTGATCAATTGATATCTTCATCGTAAATTTAAACACACTTCTGACTTTAAAAAAAAAAAAATGCATTATCGGAAAATAGTAAAACGAAGAATTCTTGCATCTAATGAAGAATCTCGCAGCTGTTTCTCAGGTCTGTAACAGAGTTGAGTATCTTTTTAAAAAAAAAAATATTTTTCTCATAAAAAATACACAGCCACTTTACTTTAAACACAAAAATATATTTTTATTTTCTTCAAAGAATATATTAGGCCATCTCCATTTTTCAAAATTAAATTTTCAAGTTTGTAAAATGATTGGGTTGGAATATCAGTGAGTATACTTAGATAAATGTACCCATATTTTGTTAACGCCAATTAATATGTTTATTTGTAAAAAAAAGTGAATGTAACACCTCTTTATGCACAAATGTAATACCATAGGATTTAAATTTATTGTCATTCAAGCAAAAATTTTCACATCCTATTTCCTACCTCCGATATGTATGTAATCAAAGAGGTTTTTTATTCATCAAATTCATTCCTTTTTTTTTTTGAGACATATCCTGTGCT